CCAAATTTAAAGACAGAATACAAAAATGAGCATCTGAGATGCATACACATTTCTCAGATGAAGAATTATAAACAGCAAATAAAGATATGAAAAAATGTTCAACATCACTGGTCATTCGAGAGATGCAAATTAAAACAATGCTGAAATTTCATCTCACCCCAGAAAGAATGGCTGTCACCAAGAAATCAACCAATAACAAATGCTGCCAAGGCTGTGAGGAAAAAGGAACCCATTTCCATTGTTGGTGAAACTGAAGACAGGTGCAACTACTGTGGAAATCTGTGTGGAGATTACTCAAAAAACTAGGACTAGAGGTTCCATTTGGCCCAGCTATTCCCTTCCTTGGTATCTTCTCAAGAGAATGAAAAGCATCATACCAAAGAGATACATGCAAACCCATGCTTATAGCAGTCCAGCTTGTAATAGCCAAATCTTGGAAACAGCCCAAATGCCCATCAGCTGGTGAATCGATAAAGCAGATGTGGTTTTTTTTATATATATATACAAAAGAGTACTATTCTGCCATAAAGAAGGATGCACTTGAGACATTTCTAGGCAAATGGATGCACCTTGAAATCACACTCTTAAGTAAAATAAATCAGACCCACACGTGTAAATATCACATTGTTTCCCTGGTGTGAGGAACTGAAAATGTAAATAAGGACCAAAATGTATAATAGGTATTGTGAAATAGGAAGCAAATGTTCAAGTGGGGAGGGGAACAAGGGGGGGCATAGGAAAAAAGGGAAAAGTTTAAAAAGTGAGAAAAGATGGAAATAACGCTTTTGTAAATGGGGAGGGAAGAAGGATTGAAGGGAGGGTGGGGGAATGGGGAAAAATCAAGTTATATCTTGTACAGATACAAATTTTCTATGATGAATGTGATCCTTATGTATATCTAAAATGTACCAATAAAATCTTATTAAAAAAAAAGAATTTGAGATCCCTACTTCCATTTTTCCTGAACAAAGAGAATTATCTTGGGGTTTAAGCAAAGTCCTGGGATTAATGATCTCTATAATTTGCCTGGGTATTTTGGCTTTTAGCTTAGGTGGCCCCATGGCTCTGACTCTTTGAAAGAGAGGAGAAAATAGACTAATATAGCTATAATTTATTGAGCAGCCACTATGTCCCCAGCACTTTTCAGAGTGCTTTGAGTGTATTAACTCTCTTAAACTTCATCTTGACTCACAAGATATGCATTTTTGTTGCTTTCTTGAGACAGGGTCTTCCTATATAGTCTATGCTGACCTTGAACTAGTGTGGCAGTGCTCCTGTCTCAGCCTCCAGAGCCAACATTCTGATGAGATATGAACTTTTAACATATTTATCTTATAAATGTTACAGATGATGAAGCTGACCCTGAGAGCCCAAGCAAAGGATTCGAAGTCACACAGCTGGGTATGTCTAGAGAGTTCACCTCTAGAGGCCATACTCTGAATAACTAAAAGAGGGTGAGGTGCAAATCAGTTCAGCACTGGATCTTATCCACGTGAAAGAAGCAGAACTCAGTCAGGCTAGTTCTGAATCTGAGCTCTGGATTTGGGGTCTGTGTTTAGTTGGGTCTGAAGGAAGAGTCAACCTAAGCAAACAAGCAAGCCAAACTGTACCTCCTGCTGCCAGAACAAGGATATGATTTCTAAGCAAAGGTAAGGCAGTTGCTCCTTCTGACAATTCTCACAATGTGCGTGGATTATGCCCCAGGTTTCTGGGTGGGTTACAATTCCATTTTTGTCTCTGATGACATGGGAGTGGACTGAGGGCAGGAACAAGAGCTTTGAGGAGGAGCTGATGCAGAATTATGAGGCTCATCACTGTTAGGCAGCTCATTCAGTCATTCTGCAAATATTGATTGAGTGCCTACTACATGGCCCATCTCTGTCCTTCTCTTGGTGTGACTCTACGCAGACCCCCATGACCAGCTTCCTACAAATCACACCTTCGTGGGCTCAGGCGCTTACACAGCAGCTCTTCCACCGTCCTTTCCTGGCATCTAGCAGCTCAGACCAGAGGGGGCCCCACTGTACATGGGCTGTCTTTGTTTAATAACGCTTGGAAGCACAAGTGAGCTCTGTATTACTGCCCTTTGGCAGGGTGGTTGTAGTGCCTGGAACTAGTTTTTACTAGTTCCGGCCCTGCAGGGCCACAGGGACAGACCCGAAGCACCAGCCATACGCTTTGTGCCTCAAACCCCCAGAGAAAACCTTTGATTTCATGGGGATGATTATTTTTATTCTTGCCCACTCAAGGATGAAGACCAAGGAACAAGAGCTTGCTCCTTTCAGAGGAATCACAATGGCTTACCTCTAGCCAAACCCACTGGTTTTTGTTTTTTGTTATTTCTGGGTTTAGCTGGGCCTCTCTTGGAAACCATTACTATACAACTTACTTAAAGAAAGAGTGAAGGGATTGGGCATAAGAGACTCAGACAGAAGGGGGACAAGTTAGGGGGTCTGGGACAAGGAGTCTGGAAGTAGCATGTTGTCAGAGAAAGCGCAGGAAGAACACATTAAAGTCACAATGTGATTTGAATCGATCCTATTTTGTTGTGGCCTTTTAAATCTTTTGCAAAGTCAGACTATCCCTGGTTTGACTTTTGGCCAAGCCCAGAGAATTGGGACTTTGGGTGAACGTTTCAGAAAAAGACACAGCACGCACACACATACACAACACATACACACACACACAGAAAGAGAGAAAGGGGAGGGAGACTTTTATCCTAAAGTCATTGTAAATCCAAAGCAGGGTTTTATCCTCCACAGTTAAATGAGAGAGGAAAAAAAAAAAATCAAGAATACCAACATTTGAGGTACAAAGACTGTCATGGACCAGTGGAAGTTTGCAAAATTCTATGTAAATGACCGAAGTTTTTACTGTGGTGGCCCTGTGCATTCCCAAAGCTAATCCCAAAGAGAAAATCTACTTAGCAAAAGAAAGTTTCGTCTAATTTGGTTAACAGTTGAGAAGTGACAAAAATGCTGAATATATTAATAATTTATATTTCCAGGGTAACACTATATCTTTAATGCTTCACTGCTGAAGGGAATTCAGAATGGCTTAATGCTCAGAGGGGGAAAACCCCCTGAAAGGCCTTCTTCATATTCTGTACCTAGCGCCGATGAAAATGGGTGTAAGACATGTGCTCCAATAATGGGCACCATCCATTCTCCCGTTTTTGCATAATTTGTTTTTACCCCATATTGCTCCCTGTGTATCTGTTATCCAGGAAGGCTGCCTGGTCTCATCTGCACTTTCCTGCTGCAACTCTATCAGTTCAGAAGGAAGGCGATAGCTCACATTTTATAGATGAGTTATGTCAAGAACCCCTGATATGTGAGATATTTTCTAAAACTTACAGATCCCCTAAAATACACATAATGTATTTTGTTTTCTGGAAAATGTAGTGAAGTGTTTTACTTTTTGCATCTGTATGATGATGTTTGCTGGTTTACAAATTGCAGCTCATCCCAATCCCGTGTCCTCAGTAAACAGACTAGATCAGAGCTCTAAGCCCTGTCCAGAGAAATGGAATAAGTTAATCTACTGAGAGAAGGCAAACCTTCTCACTTCAGGTGAGTGGCCTCTGGAAACAGGAAAACAATACTAAATAACTTCAAATTATTTAAAGGACTTTGAAGCTAATGTGAACAAAAGTTTAAAGAAAAAAAAATCACTGATGGAAAAAATTTAAGTTCCCACAACTTTAAGTGGTTGGATACTAGGGGCTGGGGATTTAGCTCAAAGGGAAAGCGCCTGCCTGGCAAGCGCATGAATTCGATTCCTGGTACAGGAAAAAAGCCAGAACGAAAACAAAACAAAACTCTCCATACTAAGTGGTTGGATACCTTGCGTATTTTCCCTATTTACATAAAACAGTATGGAACCCATTTTGCTGTTTCAGTGTTAGACGAATAAGATTTTAGCTTGACATTTTAAATGTGTCACTATTTTGTATCTAAGGGATCAATCCACTGAAACTGGAAACCATCACTAGCCAAGTCTTCCATGGACTCCAGAATTTTTTCACCATGTCCTGGATGGAGTAGGAAGATTTAAAAAAAAAAAAAAAAAATCCCGAAAGGAAAAGCTTTCTCTCCAGGCCCGAGAATCCGAGCAGAGTTCAGTGGATTCGCCTAGCTGAGCGCATCCTCCGACTCTGTGCCGGCCTCTCATCCGGTCGCCTGGCCTGGCGCGCGCCGCTCTGCAGATCTGTGCACAGAGGCAAAACCAGCCTCTGGCAATGAGACTTGTCATCTGAAGGGAGTCAGAAAACTTCGATGGGTGTTGTTTCTAAGTCATAACTCAGAATATTATTTGATCCACATAATTATTTTTATAGACTGCTTAAGCCTGCGAGGTCATCTATTCAAGCGGCAGGCCTAGGCTTTCCTGCATTGCAGATCCACAGGCTTGGGCGCACGAGACTGACTAGCTTTCAAGTAGGAAGGGCGCCCCGTCCCAAGGGGCGAAAGTCTTCAAACGCAGTTCAGGTTGGGGGTGGGTCTTTTGCTTTGAATATTCCAAGAGCCCAGAGCCCTGTTGCTCCCCACCTCCCAAGCAAAAGCCTAGAGGCGAGAGGCGAGAGGCGGTGGCAATCTATTACGCCCGGAAAGCGGTGAATCCCACCCCCAGGCGACGCCTCCGCTACTTGTTAAAGCCTCGGTTTAGCCCCCCTCCTCTGAGATTCCCGCGACACCCCTGCCCTTCCCCAGCCAAAAGACTGAGGACCGTCACCGTGTCACCTGCCAGCCTCGAACACTTGGCGTCTGGAAGGGGCTGGGTTGTGGATGAGCGGGAGGTAACAAAGAAACCCACCTCTCTGGGTGTTTCAGGAAAGTTTTATTCCCAAGAGGAGATCCATCAGAAGACCATTTCGCCTTTGGTTCTCTCCCCGCTACCCCCGGCTTTCTGTTGACGGAATATTTACACATGTACAATATGTACAACACGTCTCCCAAGCGGCGCCCAAAGCGCAGAGCAATCTCGAGGGCAGGTGGGCGTCAGAGCACCGGGGGGTGCTGGGGCGCGTGCAGGTTGAGGGCGTTGGGGTGGGCGTGGCCGATCAGGTTGAGGTAGTGCCGGTCGAGGCCCTGCACCTGCGCCAGGAAGGGGCTGTGCTGCTGCGCGGGGCTGGGCAGCGGCACGGGCGCGCTGGGCAGGTAGGGCAGCGCTGGGCTGCGGGCCGCGCCGTGCGGCCAGGGGAAGGGGCTCGCGGCAGCGCCCTGCGGGAACACAGCGGCCTCGCTGGGGCTGTGGCCCGCGAGCTCGGGGCCCACGGAGTGCAGCTGATAGGAGAAGTCCGGCTCCGGGAAGGAAGCCAGCGGCGAGAAGGCGGGCTCCGCGCCCAGGCGGGCCTTGGACTGCAGGAAGGCGAGGATGCGCGCGTACTTGGTGTCCTTGGTCTCCATCCTCTCCACCGTGGTGAGGTAATGCACCAGGTTCTTCATGCACTCGTGGTAGCCGTAGTGAAAGTAATTGGCAAACTCTGCCAGAAGTTCTGCTGGAGAAGCCAGAAAGATTGCAAGAAGGAAACCCCCTGAGCAGCCCCCTTCCCCCGGGGAGCCCGAGGTGGGCGCCGGGCGTCTCCCACCACATTTGCTGGCCAACGTTCGCTTTTGAGGTCCTCGCTGTCCTCTCCACAGTCTAGTAATTGGAAAAGTTCCCGCAAAAGTCTTTTTCAGAAGTACCGGACCACACCCACTTCACCTGCGAGGAGGCCTCCGAACCAGTGCCTTCCGGGGACCCCTGCCTGCCGCGCCAGTGGAGCTTCCGGGGACCCCTGCCCGCCGCGCGCTGGCAGCTTCGGTCTCGCAGTCCTCTCGGGGCCGCGCCTTCACTCCCTTCCCAGCCCCAGGTCTAGGAGCGGCGCACGCTCCCCGCCCACGGTTCCCTTTCCGCACTCAGCCCACCTTTTTCCCTTCCCCGGGGAAAGTCAGCGGAGTGCAGCGCTCTCAGGTACTGAACGGTCATCTCCAGGATCTCCGCCTTCTCCAGCTTCCCGGAGCTCTGCAAAGGAGAAAGACTCCTTGCAGCAGCCCAGCGGTGCCAGACCAACCCCGGCAGGCCGGGAGGGCACGACCTTACCTGGAGAGGGCCGCGAGGGAGATGCCTGCGGCTCACTGAGCGCTCAGGCTCTCCGAGGAGCAAGGACCGCCCTGAAGACCCGCAGTCTCCGCGGGCGCCCGGCGTTTCCGCCAACCGTGGCTACGGGTGGTGGTGGGCTGGGCGGGGGCGTCCCAAAGCCCGGCACGTGGCTGGGGCGGTATTCGTTACCTGCTTCGCCAGGGCCATGGGAACCGTCTTGCCCAGCTCGTTCAAGCAGCGGTTGATCCGGTCCCTCCTCCGCTTTTCTATCACTTTGTGAGAAACCGGGGTTCTCTGCGAAAAGAGGGTTTCATGTTTAGGATGGCTTTGCCCAGGGAATTATCCCAGGGACTGCTGTAGTTCGTCCCCAGAAGGGACCTCTGTACCGCGGCACGGGGACCAAGGATGCCCTGTCCCTACTTGCCCGGGGTGGTGCACTCCCTTTTTTCCAGCCTTCCTACTCTCTGTGGCCACTCAGCCAAACTGAGCACCAGGTTTGGGGGAGGCCAACAGCTTCCCATTGTGAGCTTCTCCCCGGTTAAGGGCTTTCCTCGTTTTATCTCCATCCCTTCCCAAATCAGTGAGGATTCTTCCAGACGCAACGTCCTACGTGGTCAAGCCTCTGTCAGCACTCCAGCCAGGTGGCAGGCCAGCGAGTCACACGCCTCTGCCACCAGGGCGCAAGGACTCACTTTGCGTTCCTTGAGCTTGTCTGACATCCTGGTCAGTGCGCGCCCTTGGCAGAGGCGCTGCTGTGAGGCGCACGTCCACTTTCCGCCTCTTCGAGTGCCTCAGGTGGACTGCGACCTCCCAAATCAGAGAGCAGCCTTATAAAGTGGTGGTCTAGGGCTCCAAGTGCATTCACGAGTTGAATTATTCCATAGGATTAGGGGCTCTGCGTTTGGAGGATGTATGCATTCACGATCAGTTTTAAAGAAGTTAAGGAAAAAAGGTTAGCAGCCGAGGGGGGCGAGCTGGGGGCAGATCAGTTTTGTTAATCCACGTGGCCCTTCAAAGGACACGTGATCGGCCAGGAATAACATTAGCCTGGCAGCAGCCCGGGCGGGAAAAGGAGGCGGCAAACTGCAGCCGGCGGCCTGCGAGCGCCTGCAGCCGGCGCGGGCGCGGAGCGCAGGGGCGCAGTGGCCGCGGGCACCGGGGGGCGAGGACCCTCACAAAACAGTGTCGCCTCCTTTAGTCGCACCGCCGAGTCTCACACGATCGCCTGTTTACAAATCCCAGCAAGCCCGCCGTCCCAGCGCCGAGTGCGTTTTAAAGCCTGTCCAGAGTCATTAAAGTAATTAAGTAAGCCTTTAATAGGCTGTTCCGCCGGGTTCAAGGGAGAGCTCTTGGAGACGGAGGCGCCCCGTTTGTTCCCAGGCTTTTCTCACACGACTTGGTGACACGTCCATCTCCCCCCTTTTTGTTTACACCGCTTTATTTGTCCGGACATCCCGGCAGGTGTGGGGCTGCGGCCGGCACACGAGGCTCCCGCCTCGCCTCGCCCCTCCCGCGGGTCTTTGGCACGCGACGCCCCCCCCCCCAAGTCTCTTGCTTTCTTTTCTTCCCCCCTCTGGCTCTCTCTTTGCGGGGGGAAGAGGTTCAATTTGTAGCCTATTATCCTATACGAAAATGTCCATTGAAAAGTGTGAATAGTTTCATTGGGCTAAATTTTAATAATGCGGGGGGGTTGGGAAGGAGAGACAGGCGGGCGTGTGTGTGAGTGTGAGTGTGTGTGGGGGGGTGGGAGGACGGGGGGGGGCAACACGGAGAAGAGTGAGCTGAGAAGAAAAGGGGGAGTGCAGCTGGCCAGGCGAGCATTATGCGACGTCACCTGCGTGCGAGGGCGCCTACAGACCCCTATTCATTTGCCTAATTTTGGTCAATTTAACAAACTTCAGGAGAAATTATTGTGGCTTTGTCAGGGAGGGTGAAGCCTTCTGATCGAATTAACAGCATGTTTTGATCCGGTAAATGTCATTAGAAAGGGAGAAACAATCGCGTTTAGAGGGCTCTGAGTAATGCGCCCAAGTGGAGACGCCAAAGCGCACGGCTCACAAAGGGAGCAAGTAGCTGCCACAGGGAACTTTTGTACCCGCCCATCGCCCAAGTTTTGACACAAAAAGGCATTATTTCATACTTGAATACGTTTAATCCAACGATTGTCTATTTTCTGCAAACATATTTTCACAGCATTGTTAACTTTTTATGTCCCCCTTTCGCGGGTGCCTTTTCTTAAGGTTTGGGGGCGGGAGAGCGCAGACACTTTGGGCATCAATATTTGTCACTGAAAAGGGCCCCGTGAAGTTAGGGGAGTTGATCTCTTTTTTATGGTTTTAGAAGGCGAAAATATCGGGGGAGGAGGAGGGAGGGAAGGCACGAAAAGAAATGAGGGGGGAAATTTGCCGGGCGGGCGAAGAGGAAGGAGGGGGTGGCGGCTCCTGGGAACGCTCCTGGCCGGCTGCGCCTCTGCGGGCAGCCAGGCCGCGGCCACAGGCCTCCTCCCACGAGCCACCTCGCCCGCATTTGCGGCCTCGGAACCCACACTCTGGGGGCTCCGAGCTCGCGGCCTGTGGGTGGTGGGTGAGCTTTCTTTCAGATGGAAACAATAAAGTCAACTTTTGTTTATGATCTACTCCTCAGCCACCAAGTTCTCACCTCTGCCTAACCGTTTCCATCTGGGAGTCGCAAAGATGTCTCTTTACACAGCCTCCCCTTCTTTCCCGCCCTCCACCCCGCTCCAGGTCTCTACTCTGCAAGACAGTGGCAGCTCCCGGGCTCTCCCTCGGCGTAGCGTTGGTCCCTGGGCGAAGTGGAAAGGGTGGAGCACTGCTCCAGCTCCAGGACGCAGAGCTAGGCATGCGGGGCGCAGCCTCGGGAAGACAGCAGCCCGCCTGCCGCAGCCGTTAAGGGTAGGGACGGTCTGCACCACGCACCCTGGGGTGTACCTCTCGGTCTTGCTTTTAGTGTCTTTTCTACTTCATGCCAGATTGGACACGACCCTCACCCTCCTACGGGTTGCTCTGCCAGCCGCGGGTGCCTTCTCAGGGGTTGTCCATTTCAGTGTATTCACTCGCATACAAAGGGATTAAACACAAACCCTTATCATCCAAATTAACTAACGTGAATGGGTAAAAGGGAGCGCGCACACTTCTCACCCGCACTCCCCTTTTTTTTTTTTTTTTTTTTTTTTCGCACTCCCCTTTTTAAGCCAGCGGACTGGGAGTTGATCCTCTTACTGCTGGTGTTAACCACCAGCTGCAGCATCTTCCGCAGGCTAAATTTCTTTCCCTGCGAGCTGTTTAATTTCCCTGGCGTTGATGGGGAGCGGGGCCCAAGGGTTGCCCAGGGCTAAAAGTCCCGAAGTGCGGTTAAACTTGCAGTGGAGTTGGGGTGGGGGTACAGAGGGGGGCACAGGTGCGCAAGCTCTGGCTGCAACACTAATGTGCGGGAAAGCGACCAACTCTAGGTTTCAGTTTCTCCTTTTCTTGCCTGAAGGTCTGAATCACACTGCCCAAAGGTGGGGTGCCTCACATAGCCGTCTCTTTATTCATCTTTGGGAAGAGTAAGAAGTGTTCCTCAATCTTGTCCTAGATTTCCCCCAAAATGAGCGCAAAGGGCGCTCTCTCATTCTGCGTGAGATTGGTGAGGCCAGAGTGGGTTCAAATTCCAGACCTACCTCTGACCGACTGAGCCAGACTTTAGACGAGTTCGTGAGTCTCAGTTGTGCCTCAGTTTCCTCCTCTGTAAAATGAGATAACAATTGCAACTACTGTGTCTCAAGTCGGTCATTAGGGCGAAATAAGGGAACAGAGACAGAGCATCTAGAAGAATGTGCTTTTATTTTGCCAAGAATCTCTTTGGCCGTGGCTTTCCCGCACTACAGCAGTCTGTTGTGGCGTTTTCACTCTTATGATAGTTGCACGTTTTTTCCTCATTGAGAGCAGCAGAGAGAGAGAGCAGAGAGAGAATGAGAGAAAACGTTACCCTCCTTGAAAAAGCCACCATAGTTCTTCCTGAGAGTGGGGGGTCTTTGGGGGTCCCTCTCACAGATGACATCACCTAGTGCTCAGTGAGCAGCTGTGTTCTTCCAGTGTGTGTGGCTAGAGAAGGCTCTTGGTGCAGAAGCTCCTCAATGTCACAGTCATAGCTGTTCTCAAACACTCAAGAATTCACATCAAAATTAAAAGAAAGCTAGAGAGGGGAGATGCTGGTCCAAAGATACACATTTGCAGTTAGACAAAAGGAATGAGTTAAAGAGATCTTTTATGGTATAGCATAGGAACTATAGTTATGTATTCTTTTTTTTTTTTTTTGGTATTGGGAATTGAACTCAGGACCTTGCGCTTGGAGCTTGTGCCACTGAGATACATCCCCAGCCCTAGTTATGTATTTTTTAAAATAAATGATAGTAGGCAACAGGGAGGTAGACCTTTTGCAAATAAGAGGCAGACCAAGAGCTAGAGGGAGGGAAGAGGGGAAGCGGAGGTAAAAAGACTTAAAATGTGTACAGTTCCAACTCTGCACAATGAAGGTAATCACTGCCTACTGCAAACATGTACTAATAATTTTTTTTTAATTCTAGGAGAGTGGATGTTAAGGGTTCATAACACAGCAATGATAACCATGGGAAGTAATGGATTCATCAACTAATTAAATACAATATGTCACAGCAAATATGCAATCAGTCCTTACCTGGGGGCTCTGCTTCTGTAGACTTAATCAATTGTAGGTTGAAAATACTGGGGAAAAACTGTATCTGCACTGAAACTACAGAATTTTTTGGTCATTATTCTTTAAGCAATCCAGTCTAACAGCTGTTTATATGGTATTTGTGTTGTATTATGTATTATAGACAACCTAGTGATGACTTAAAGCCCTGGTGCTCAACCTTTTTTGGGCACCAGGGACTGGTTTTGTAGATGACAATTTTTCATGGGGGAAAGTGGATTGGTTTCAAGACGATTCAAAGGAGCTTGCAGCCAAGAGCCCTGCGATGCACACAGTTCTCAGTGGAACTCGTGCTCCTTCCAGAATCTAATGCTGCTGCGGACCTGACAGGAGGTGGAACTCAGGCAGTGATGCAAGTACTTGGGAGCAGCTGTAAATATGGAGGTGGCTGAGCTCACTTAATCTGCTGCTCACCTCCTTCTGTGTGGCCCATTTCTGAACAGGCCACAAACTGATATCAGTCAGGGATTGAGGGTAATTGGAGCTTGCGCCACTGAGTGGAAATCCCTGCCTAATTTCTAAATAATCTTCATTCCTAGTTTAAAATTTGTTTTCTAAATTGACATAAAATTATAGGTACAACATTAGATTGCTCAGCTTGCATTATTTTAACAAATACTCAATTTAATAACTTTTGTAAAGAAAAGAAGTTTACTAGGGCCCAAGTTTACTTCAGGGGCACAGTGCCTGCCTGTGCCCAGGGATTTGGGACCCCTGATTTAAAGACCCCAGGAAGATGTGCATGAGTAGTATGCCAACACTCCACCATTTTGGATATGCTGACCTGAGCACCTATAGATTTTAATATCCAAGGGGCTTATGGAACCAGTTTCCCACGGTACTGAGGGACAACTCTACACTTCAGAACGTCTTGCTTGCTCTGATTTGGCTTTGGTTTGTCCTCCAAGGGTCCATGTGACTAGAATTTTTGTCCCCAGGGTGAAACTATTGGGAGGGGAGCGCCTGGGAGACCTGAGGCCAAATGGAA